TATAACAACCAAGAAAGCTCAAGAAAACTAGACGGTTGAGAAGTAAAATCTAAGCATTAACATAATTTTGCTATAATAATCAAGTAGAAATTGTTTTGTGATATCTTAAGATACGCAAACACCAGGAACCCAAGCATTTATCACCAGTAAAATTGGTAAAAGTAGTAGTAAGAATAAAACAAAGAAATATTTGGATTAGGTTGTAAAGTATCACATATTTTTGAACTATGCGTACTGCATTAGCTATCATAGATGCAAAATCTCATCAAAACTTCACCTAAAATCAGATCATTTTGGGAAATGCTGTCAACATTTTCCCGTATATATATTTGGCTATCTACTGATTTTTTTATTTTCTATTGGAATGCTCAAAATCTCTAATTCGAGACCATGCTAGGATAGAAGAAACTTTATACTGATGCCTATACTGACGTTCCAAACCTGGCTTCAAATGATTATGATTTAGTGTAGCACTATAATTTGTTCAGCTGTATCTGAAGTTTTTTGTTACAATCTGATGACCTAATTCTTTATGGGTTTATTATTTTTCTTAGGTGTGGAGTCATTTGATGTGGACCTCAAGGAACAAAAGGTCACTGTGAAAGGCAATGTGAAGCCCGATGCAGTTCTACAAACCGTTTCAAAGACTGGGAAGAAAACCTCCTTTTGGGATGAAGCTGCTGCTGCTCCTCCTGCAGCTTCTACCACCACAGCATGAAAGAAAATATGGGAGGGAAATGGCGTAAACTCACGATTGTAATATTTTCACAATTTCCTTTATGGTGCCATTTTGTTATCTGAGTGTCTGAATAATTGTGACTATTTGGCTCCTGCTTGTTAGATGAATGACATGTAGTCTTGGGGTATTATGCTGTTTGTGATATTAGGCAGCACGCCTCTGTAGTTGGGATATCTTTGCTGAACGTTTATATAGAAACCTCTTTGGTGCAACTTTTCCAGGTCTAGATGGTGCTGTGCTTTTCGCGTTTCTTGTTTGTATTTCGCTTGCGAGATCTTGAGATGGATTCCCTTTCTCTTGTCATTTACTTGTTACTCTTGATTCCCGTAGTCTAATGCTTTTGTTATGTCTAGATCATCGCGGCAAGGGAAGAACTATATGTATTTCGTGTCAGTTTGGCTATTTTGTGAAACTTTGCTATTTTGTCATTTCTCTTTAATTAAATATGGATGGTCATACTTTTTCTTGTTCCTTCAAGCAGGTATTGATTTTGTGGATTTCCTGTTTGTAAAGTGGTCCTAGACCATAATGGTGGCAGCGTCTGCTTGATGTCTTGAATCCTAATATGTACTTATTATTTCAAAGCACGTTTCCAGTTTTTTAAATTGTTAGAGGACCTTTGCACTCTGATCTTGTTCATTTGTAAGAAAAAGATTACGTGTCTTGATTCTTGTATGCTACTGTCATGGGAAGTTTGATGCGTGCTACATCGTGCATTAGGCTAGATATTGCACATGCGCTCAACGGGGTCCGCGGGTGCATGGTAGTATGAAAAGAGACGGGGTGAAACGATGAAATGGATATTTTAACATCTCAAGGATCAAAATGTATTGCTTCATTTTTGTAAGGGATGATACAGGTCAGGTGTGACAGGGCTATTCGGATTCTGAGCTTGAGCACATAGAGGTTCATTTTAATTGGGGTTTGTTTACTTACGAATTTTAATTGTCTTAGCGCTTTAACAGAGATGTATCGCATTTCACCATAAACGTAACCTGCAATTTTCTATCATCTTAGCTACTTAGGAGGTATGGCACATTTCATCGTAACAAACCAGCGAATGAAGGCATCTGGTAGAAGGGGTTAGCTACTGATTTTGGTCTGTATCAAGATCAGCTGGCCTGGCACTATGCAATGCAGAGTTAGTCCAGAACTCGTTGAAGGAGTTGGGAGAAATAATCTCCTGGTCTCAGGTAGTCATCGACAATTTCCATATATAGCACATGTGAGGCAAGAATTTGGAACACGCTACGCGAGGATGTCTTCTGGCTATAATTCTCTTTGCTTTTCTAATTAAAAAGGATTGATCATCCACTGCTGTCCGAGGATGTAGAACTTGCTTCGAACCTTGTCAATTATACTGTTTGTGATTTTCATTTGTTCTCTGTTTTATCTCCATATTCATGTTTTTCTGCATCTCCAATATTGGAGAATAAGAAAGAGGTTAATGCTTTCGAATCTACGATATTTGGAGCATCTAAGCGCGTTTTCACTATATCTATTTTCGATCTATTAGTCGGTGGTTGAAAATTTTCAAAGATATGGTTGATTAGTCGCATTGCAACGACCAAGCGTTTTCAACGTATACGACAAGATTTAGTTCATAAATTCCTTACCGTATATCGATTTTCTAGAGTTGAATAGGATAATTTGTTTTATCTTTCGCTAAAAAAACTATTAATTCTTTTGAGAAAACTAAAAAATACAAGTACTGAGAGTATTAAGTGAAGATTTTATTGTTAAACAAGTTAATTTTTCTCTTTAATCTCACTAAATATTTGTTTATTTTAAAGTGTATCTTCACCCCGCTCCTTAGATATGCTAATGTTGAATTTAAGCCTTACAAGCTCTATAAATAGAGGCATAAGCTCTCCTTCGTTTTTCATTTCCTCTTCATTGCATTCCAATGGAATCAAGGAAATTGAAGGCTCAACTTGGAGAGCTGATAAACGCCATGATGGAGGAGGTAAGAATGTCTTTTTTTGTTCATAATTTGATCTCCTAACTAATTATAGCAAGTAATTTAACAATTGTGTTTTCTCTTGTTGTAGAAAATTCTGAGCGATTACTTCTATGAGATTCAGATGCTACGAACTAGTAAAAATCCATCCTTCATTGTTGAGATAGTAACCACAGCTTGTGTCGAGAGCGGCAAGTTTATGAGTAAACTTGAAAGCTTGGTGTACGTGAATTTTCCAAACTTTCAAACATTTAAATGGCAATGACAATTGTGAGACAGCTGCAATATTAAGTAACCCATGATATTGCAGGAATCAAGAAGTTTTGGACTTTGAGGAGATTAACAAGTTTGCTCTGAAGCTGCACAGCTGCATCTGCATGTATTTTTTTCCCCCTTTCCGCTTTATATTTCCTTTCTTAGCTATCGTTATTTCTCTATGATGATATATGCATAAGAATATATTTTGCTTCAAATTTAGTATAATTCTTCTAAGCAAGTGGTGCAAAACCCAAATATTTTCCATAATATTACTAATATCTGACATCAAACAGAAAGTTATTCTCTATTTTGCACTAGAAAGATATTAACACGTGCAAGCATGCACATACAAATTTTTGTAATGCAACGGTCCCTTGTAGTACACTGGCCGATTGTAGGGATAGATTCCCTGTGACGCCATCCAATTGCGATACACACCCTTGTAATTCTATTGTTGCAGATCTAACCCCTGCGTGAAATTTTTTCTCTCTTTTATCCTCTAGATGTCTATTTGCCCCAAAAATTTTTTTTTTTACCTTTATCTGAGGGTAAAAGAGTCAAAAAAAGTCACTCGAGTGTCAAATTTGCAAGAATAAAACCACGGAGGTCTATCTGCAATTAAGCAATGGTACATGGATCTGTTGGCAATTAACCCTTTTCTTTGTGTTTGTATGTGGTTGTAGATTGGAAAACTTTAATAATTCTCAAACACTAATTGATTTATAGAAATGCATTTGATAATATTGAACTCTTTACCACATCTATTTCACTTTACTTAGAATAGTTTTAACTTGACTAAGTATTATGACATGATTAGCATGCTTGAAACTTACATTGAAATGTTTTTCTTGACTATTTCAGGGTTGGTGCTGGGAGAGTGTTAACTGTTAACAAAGTACTCCGTAATTGCTGTTCGTCGAAAGACAGAGAAGGGTAAAAACAGTTTCACATTAATAAAAGAAAAAAAGAACTTGCGCAAATATTTTTTAATGTTCAATTAATAAAAGGATTCAATTCAATATTTTGCTAATATATAGGTGCGTGAAAGCATTTACTGATGTTCGTGAGGAGTACCTTCAACTGCGTGCCAAGCTTCAAATGATTATCGAGGTATATGAAAGACTTAGTCTAAGAATTATACGATATATAAAAGCAAAATGTTGATTTCTCACTCAATCTAGACTACATATGAACTTTATTTTTTTCTCAAAGAAAAAAATAAAATAAATAATAATAACATATGAACTTTGTTTTGTAATCTTCTGCCCTAGCTTAATAACTTGAGTATACCAGTTTCCCAGTTTCACAGTTTGGTTATAAAATACATCCGTTCATGCCTAGGGGATCCGTTGAAAATTAATCTAACTTTTGTTAACTTTTCTTTAAGGAAACAATATTTGTTCTAGATTCGCTACTAAAAAAATGGGCTAGATTGAAGAAATCTATTTGTGTATTAAATTTCTCCTAAATATATACATTAATATTGTTATGATCATTGATGCCAAAAAGAGGAAACATTATGAAGAGAAGTAAAAATATATAGGACTGTCATTTATATGTCATATATTCTATAATTCTTTTTCTGAGAGATCATATATATATATATATATATATATATATATATTGGTCAACTTGATGCAGCTGGAGAACAGGATCATGATGGCTGAAGCTGAAGAGAAAAAGAAATGAAGATACAAATCATGATAACTAGAGCTGAAGAGAAAAAACGTGTGAAGAGAGGAGCCCTCGTGAGCCTGATTGTTGTCTTTCCTTAGAGATAACAGAAATATATGGAAGCAATGTAATTGCAGAGTAAATATATAACTGAATAAAGTCAGGCTCTTAAATTTTATTTAATAATATTCTGTGTTTTGCTCTAGGGGTAATGTTATGACAATGGAAAGCTTTAATAGTAAGAAGAAGCAATATTGGTTGATATTTACATATTTATTTAACTAGCAGAAAGTGGTTCTAACATCTCTTAGGAAAATATGGCCTAGTGGTTGGCACTTGGGGTCTTGACTCATAAGGTCAAGGATCGATCCATACCTATCACACATCTCTCCTCCTCAATTTCTAATTAACGGAATATTACCGCGAGCTCCCCAGTGGTTCCCATAAATAAAAAGATTACAATTTTCTTGAGAACACACGTAGATAGATCGGCTTGTGTGGGATCTTTGCCGGTGCTTGCGCGGGATCTTTGCCGGTGCCGGAGTTTATCCGTGGACCATCAACTGATCAGATCCGAATAACGATTTCGTTGCCTCGCAAAGGAGACATGGAATATTACCGCGAGCTCCCCAGTGGTTCCCATAAATAAAAAAGATTACAATTTTCTTAAGAACACACGTAGATAGATCGGCTTGCGCGAGATCTTTGCCGGTGCCGGAGTTTATCCGTGGACCATCAACTGATCAGATCCGAATAACGATTTCGTTGTCTCGCAAAGGAGACAAGAAATTAAAGTGACTATCTCGGCAACAGCGAGATAGTCACTCTTCTTGAGAATCGCAGCTAGGTATGATCTCAAGGAAAAATGATGAACGGGATGCAGATCTCTCAAACTTTTCTCCTCCTTGTGCTGAAGAACTCGTCAAGATCACTTCTTCCTCTCTAAAATTCATGCTCCTCACTCTTTAATCTGACAGGGCTTTGCTGAGACTCGAGAATTCCGGATCTATGCAAATGAAGGCCCTATGGCTGTATTTATAAGTTTCAGACGCTTTATTTTCGGATAAGAACGACCGATTTGATCTTATCCTCAGTTGTAACCACTTAACCACGTTCCAAGATAGCTTCAAATCAGTTGGAGAGGCTTTGGACTGAAGAAATCTCAAAATCTTATCGAAAAACTGGTTTCCGGAAGGTTAACGGGCGAAAAATAGCATTTCTGGGTGTGAGACACAATGTGTGTCTCGGCCTTGGCCGAGACACGACTGGTGTCATTGTGTTGTTTTTCCTCTAACTCTCTCATCTGACCTCGGAATAAAGTAATTAAAGAT